TTACAATATACAAACTAAAGGATGGTGATCCTAGTGTAGTGGTTGGGTTGTCATCCTCTAAGTGGCAGGTCTAAGGTTCAAATCCTACTTATGACGAAATTTGATAATTATATCTGCATTATGGTAAACTGTCTTTTGTCAATAAGTTGAATTTAGGTATCTGTAATCTTGGGTACAACTAATTGAGTTCTACTTATCATTAGGAGCCCAAGGCATCTATGTGAAGTGTAATGTTATATGTACATAGAGGAATGTTAATAACCAGTATCACATAAGACTTCAGTGCAAACTCATGATAAGGCCACCGGATGTAGAAGACCAAGTAACCAAGAAGACAGAAACCCACTTGGAAATTTCTGAGTAAAGAGTAGCACAAGCCTTTAACAGTGCTATTGGACTGATGAAAGCCTAGAAAATCCCAATAAGGAATAGGCAGACATGTAACCGGATGGAAAAATGTGTAGAAGAGCATATGACCAACCAGGTTGCCAGAATCGCTGAAGAAAAAGAATACTAAGGTATACTGTACCAGGCTATCTGGATTGTGAGTCTGGGGAGTCTGTCAGATTCTGAGTTGGATAGTAGGAGAATGAAGAGAAGAAGTCAGAATGATAGATACCGGGATTTGGATAAACTTTACAAGAGTAGAAATAGTGTAATGTAGTGGTTAAACAGGTAACCTCCTGTAGCTGCAAGTATTAGGTAACTATAGCATGTTACATAAAACTAAGTTAGCTGTATGTGGGACATGGAAGGCTCTAGTAACGATGCTTCTGAGGATACACTATATGAAATAAGATATAGGATCCTAAAGGAAATAGGTAAAAGTATCTAGACCTTTTTGACTGATGGCTGTATCAGAGATGATCTAGTAACACAGTAAGGATTACAGCATAGGAGGTTTAAATAAGCAATGTCCCTAGTTAGGTTGCAGGTATGGCAGCTAGTGTAGAACCATTAGCGAACTACTTAAATTAGACACTAAAAGTGTACATGTAGCTAGTTGTACTCTCTAATGTAAGGTGACTTCTTTGAGACTTCAGCCATAAGTCCCTATATCCAATTTACTGAATAAAACCCTAGGCCTAAAAGAGGCTAGTTTAATATCACAATATACAAACTAAATATAATTGTTAAAATTATATGTATTTTGTTTATATAACTAAATACATTTTATTACTAATACTTATTCTTCTATTAAGTTTGTTATTAGAAAAATTAATATATAAACCATTTTTTAAATTAAATATAATATCTTTTTTAATTATATTCTAACTACTATATATAAATTTAAATAAGAAAAATGTTAAAAATCAGATGATTTTTTAGGATAAGAGGAGGGTAAAAAAAGTTAAAATTATATATAAAGAACCTAACTATTTATATATTAAAAGAAGAAAAAGAAGGTAGGTCTCTGATAAAAAATAATTAGATGATTAATGACATGACTTTAAGTCTAACTATTTTAATAAATTTAAATTACAAATAAATATGTTTGAGCTTTTATTTTTGAATATAATTTTTCTTTTTATATTTAAAATTTAGTTATATAGTTAGCAGTTTAGTATTTATCATAATTGCAAATGTTGATCTTAATCATAACATTTATATAAAATTACTTTGTATATATAGCAACTCTATGTAATTATTAACCTTAAAACTACTAATAAAAATATAAACAAAATTTTATTTTAATACCAAAAAAAAAAAAATTATTATATAAAAATAATTTAAATAATTTTTTGAATTTATTTATATAATTAGATATAATATATTTTTATATATTATACTTTAGACCAAAATTAATTTAATTTAGAATTAAAACAGGTTTAAATAAAAATTTTGTAATTTTAACTCAAACTATATTAATTAAATTTAAAACTTTTTTATTTTAAATCCTAATTCTAACCTTAACTTTAAACCCTAATTCTAACTAATATTTGTTTAGAATAAGCGAATCAACTATTAGCATAACAAAAAAAATAATCTTTAAATTTTTTTATTAATAAAACTAATAAAAGAACCATAGTATATTTGTCAAACATAAAGATATTATAGTTTCTTTTTAGTCTATATTAACCAAGCCAATATGACTTGAATTAGCTAAATTAAATATAAACGATCATGACTAAATACACTATAATCTGAATTAATTCAATCTGAAACGTGAATTCATTCTTGAACTGACTTGATTCAGTTCGAGTTGAGTCGAGTTAGCTCAAGGGTAAAAAAATTAAAGCAATTCGAATCATAGTGTATTAGTCTATCAATATTTAGTTTAGATTTAACTCAATCCAAGTCATGTTGGCTTGGCATCATTTGAGTCGAATCGACTGTGTCGAATTTCGAGTTGTGACCATCTTTATCTTAAAATGCAGCAATTCAAAAAACATTAAAATTTAGTATAAACACTTTTTTTAAACAAACCATGTAATTCAATTCCTAAAAAGAAAAAAAAAACCATACATATCTGATATCGATCGATACACTTACGTACATACATTATACATTAATGTATTCCGCACTCTATAAAATACTTGTCGACTTATAAGAACAAGGATATTTCTGTGGTACATATCATTTATTATGCACTATCTTGTCTATTATTCGTTAAACGTAATAATTGTTTCTATTAATGATACTAATCGGCAATCGATTAATCGCATAAATTATCAAGTGATCTATTATAAATTAACTAATCAATTAATCAATATGACAAAAGATTTTTTTCATATCGATATTGTCTTATGCAATAAATTATTTTTTATGCGGGATAGGTTATAAAAGTATTGGGTACTTTGTTACTTGCAACCAATCATTGGCTAATGCTGCGCAGTTAACCATAATTAGTTGTGTCACCTGACCGATTATGATCCAAGGTATTCAATCTACTATGATAAATAAATATCCTCTACACCATAAGGGGAGTTTGCTTGCAGAGGATACCATTTTTTTTTGTGTTGTGCGTCAAATTAAAGTGGGAATAAGAATTGAGTTGCTCCAGACTTGAAATTTGATTTGAGATGAAAACATTTCAAACGAAACATCAACTGGTTTGACGAATTCAGGATCGAATTTCGACTCAATTATAGATTTACACCCCTTAAAGAACGTACAACATATATATATAGATAAATTAGTTTTAATAATATCAAAAATATATCGATATGCGGTAATTTGATATTTTTTTTCTTAGCGTAAAAAAAATATAAGTTTTTAAAAATTTTTTAGGAAAAATGGCAAATTTCCTGCAGATTAAGATACAGGATCTAAAATTTTTCTTATCTTTCTAGGTAACAATTCCGATTACGAATCCTAAATAACGCCATTCTACGTAGAATTTCCAAACTAGAACAGTGTTAAAAAAGATTATCATTAATGAATTTTATTTACACACGAGACTTACATATATGGTTATGTGGATCAAATTATCAGTTTCCTTTATGATTGTTATTCATCATGGAACCTAAGAAGAGGATGTGTATCATATTAAATGTAATAAATGAAATGTGAAAGCTTGTTGGTTAAATGAAAATTTCTTAATCAACGATAATAACTGATGGCAACAAAGTACAATGTTGGACTTTCCTTCTTTATCAATGAATCATATATGTTTCAAACACATCATAAAGTTAATTCGTTCTTTTTTTTCTTTTTTTTCAAATATGAATGTTATTCACGTACTCAAGTATTTAAGGAATAATTTAACATTGGAATTTATATGACGTTTTGTTGTAAAACTTGTGTGATTGGTGTAAAGAGATGAATTTATAAAAGGCAACAAAAAATTATTGTTTAACAATCAATTTCCAAATAAGAGAAATTCTGGATGTGAACGTACAGTATTCTTTGGGTTTCACAATTTTTGTCGATATGAAATAATATAATAACATAGTATGACGTCTACCGCTAACTCTAGACATAAGCTTAATTCCGTTAGATTTAAAATGAAGAGAGATGGGCATTTTACATAATTGAAACATAAGACCTTAAAAAACTCTAAATTCATACCTACAACTTTTTGCTATAAAAGCAGTTAATGACCTGATTTCGTAGCCAACATATAATCATGGGATCACTGATGATGTGATTCTTGGGCAAACAAATATATACAAATGTATGCAAATTTTGTCTTGCAGACAATGGCATGATTATACTTGGATTGTTTTCGGCTTGCATGATCTAACATGTGGTCATACCCTAGTATATTTTAGTTTCGAATGAAAGAATGAAAAAAAAATATTTCTTATAAACATTCAATATTTTTATTGGACCAAAGAATCTAAAGAGAGCTCGTATTCATATAACGATAATCGCATTGATTGAATATCCTATCACTGCGCCACCGGGTTTTGTCGATAATACACCAATTTGGGACGAACACAATGGTAAAAAAGCAAATTTTCATTATTTACTGGGGGGTCTCCATTATATTTTTCAAAATTAAATAAACGTGAACTAGGGAATTTTTGATTATAAATATCATAATAATGGATCTGCAAGGTTACATTAACTAATTTGCTACATATAAAACCTGGCAAACCATGTTTCTTGTTCACCAAAAAAAGGTTGATAGTACCTTTATACCTTCAAACTTGTTTAAATTTTTTCTTCGAGATAAAATTTTTTTTTTTCTTGAAATTTTATGTAATTCAATCCTCATCCATTCTTTCTTGTTTCTTTTTTTTTTTAAAAAAAAAGAACCTTTACGTTGTTTTAATTTATCGATCTTTAATGTTATAATATATTTGGTTTTCTGTTTTGGCAAGTCCAAAAATAAATTAACTTTTTTTTACAAAAAAACCCTCCGGATTCTTTTAGGTGATTATAATCATTGGAAAAACGATAAATTCCTTGCTTTAAACATCAAAAAAAAAAACAGAACAACCAAATTACCATCACACATCACAATAAAAACGAATTTATGATAATATATCATAATCTGACGATAATTGTAATTTGAATCCTCAACCACCAATTTACAAATTTACATTAAAATAATGTATGATAAAGAACCAACAGCATTTGAAATTCAACAAATTGTAGCAGAACCTTCCGGTTCAACAGGTTCTTCAAATAAAACCCTTAAAGAGGATGTAGATACAGTTGATAATACAATTGATAATACAATTGATAATACTGAATATATCACCGTACCTCAAGTTCGTCCTCGAAAGGATTATGGAATAGTACCAAATTTTAATAGGTTATCGGATCGATATACCTTTTCATTTTCTGCAGATTTAATTGCACAGGTTCGTTAAACTATGCCTAACTACATTTATATTTTAAAATGAAAATAATCAGCTTGTTTGTTAAATTTTGATGTTTCCATATTCGTTGTATATTTATATAATAGTTTGATAAATACCGTGCGCAAATGCGTGAAAGTATACGTCAGGAATTAGAAGACAACCAAGACATAGTAAGTGATTATATGATCACCTAATTCAGATGGATATATTAATTTAAAATATTAATTAACCAATTTTTTTTAAAATAATAATAATAATAATAATAAATAGACAACACCAGAATCAGAAACTTTTGAAACTTTAGAAACTGCAATAAATGATGATGACGATGGAACATTTAGTGTTCACCAAGTACATCATTCTGGATCAAATATGTATTCACAAGGTTCAACGAGCCGAGAAATTGACAGTGCACCAAAATCAAATGGAAGAAAACCATTAATATTCTCTTTCTTACGAGGGAAAACAAAATCACGACGACATATTACATCTTCAAATTTGGACAATCAATCTGTATCAGCAATTGAAACATCTGTAATTGATAATGAGGACATTACAATGTCAAATGAATCAGATTTACGACAATCTTCACATCAAGAAAAAACTAGTTTATCTAAAAGATTTATAAGAAGGATAACGAAACTTGTAACTTGCTCATAAAAATCATTTATTCTTTTTGATCGGAATATATTTAATACTAAAATTATGTTTGGCAATTTTTTTTTAATCAACACAAAATAATTTGGCGTTTATAATTTCAAAAAAAAAAAAAAATCATTTTTTTTAAAAAAAAAAAACCACAAAATGTTTAATTTTTTATTTTTTTTTTGTATGTACAATATTTTGTTTTTATAATATTCGCATATACCTTATTTATTTAATTTTTTATTTTAGGCAGGATCTAAAATTTCATTTTTTACAATTATTAATTTCGTATTTCATTATGAATTACTATACACTTTTTTCATCATTCACTTTTCACGGTTATTAATTTGGCAAAATCAATTACTGTATCATCAAAATTCAATAATCCATTTTAAATAATTTCATTTTTACAGCACTGTATTTTAATTTTTTTTTCGTTGTTAAAATGGTAGCGAATTAAAAAAAAAACAAAAAACAAACAAGAGATACATACATTTTGTATATTCATGTATTTTTTTTTTTTAATTTGGTACGTACGTGCCTAGTCATTTGTTCAAATCACAAACATACACATTAAAAAAAAACCGAATTTCATCAGAAAAAAAAAAAAGATGTTTATCAATCTTTTTTAATATGATAAATAGTTAAAAATGAATAACAGTATCGATATGTATATGCGTTTGGTGAAATGGAGGTTACGTAATTGCGGTCGGGGTACAATTAGTTGAGTCCGGTCGCAATTACATAATTGTTCCAGTACATTATCAGGTTAACCAGGTATTGCAAAGCAATGTGTGTAATTATTTTAAATTATAAATCACCAATTAAAAAAAAAAAAAAGAAGCAGAACATTGGAATTAACCGTGCCCAAACTGTATCACTGCAGGAACTACTTACTGTACAAGCTGCTTTTACATAACGATAATAAAAGTATTGTAACATTCTTTAATTATCAATATATTTTCATTTCAGATATCGATATTGTTAAATTTCACAATGCACGCATGTATGTTAACTGATAATCGATAAATTCGTTATTTTTACGTGCTACTTTAAATTATACCAATAATCATTGAAATCATTAAAACCATTGATTTTATTATAAACTATATAAATGCAATTCTTTACAAAATTTATTATTATACATACATACATACATTATTCATTCATTCATTCAAAATGCCAAAAAATCTATCGTTCGTTAATTCTTCTATGCATTTTTCATTTCCACACATTAGCACCTTTTTCATTCTCTCAGTATCTTTCAATTCCTCCCATCTACTATGAATATACATTAATGCTTGATCTTTTAACCAATAATTATCCGTTGCCCATCCAAGCAGTAATACATCATCCCAATTATCTTTATCTACCATTTCTACTACACGTAATATAATGAGTTTCGCCAATTCATCTATTTCTCTCATATCTGCTTCTGCATAAACATTTACCAACGTATCAAATGTCAATCCATCTTCAAGAATACCTGTATATAAAAAGTAAATTATAATTCTAAAGATTTTATGATCAACGTCTTTAATATGAATGTTTAAAGATTTTGATTCCAACCATTCACCGTTAAACATTGTCTTAAAATAAATTGATCTTGAAGCCAAAACCAGTCTTGATACATAAAGTTGAGATCCACAGTCAAATTTAAATATAACATCACTAAATCTTTCGTTATCAAAATATTCATCTAATCTTGGTCCAAATCTTAATAAAATATCAATATTAAGCATTTCCAAATCGTAATTTGTTGCTGTATAACTTTCATCAAAAAAATGTACACGAATTACTATATCAACTTTATCCATTCTTATTAAATTAAATTTTGAATCAAGATTATTAGGAAATATTGTTTCAAATTCACAAAATTTCACACTTCCCCATGTCGGTTCTTTTTCATTGTTAAATATGAATTGTTTTTCCAACATATTTCTATAACCATTTAATCTTGATAATCCATTAGTTGTTACGGTAGGATTTGATAACTTTCTTGTGATTTTAGGATTTTCAATTTCATTATTTATTCTAAGTATTTCAAACCTCCACTTTGAAGTTCTTGTTTTTATATTATTCTCTTTTTCAAATTTACTTTGTATCGCTGAAAGATAAAGAGAAATATGTGTCTTTACTTTTTTTGATCGATGACCATGAGGATAAAGTAATAATCTCCATTTATGTTCAATTTTATCGATGGTGGTGGTAGAGTCTTCATCCATACTAACTTTTTCACTCGTTGAATGAGAGATAAAAGGATCACTATAATAATATTCAAGACATTTTTGATTATAAAGATCTTGAAAATTTTTAACAATCCATGTATATGTAAATGGTCCACTTGTATTATTCAATGGTTGTTCTGTTACTTGCTGATAATGTGAAGAATCAATATTAATGCTTTTATTACTAGCATTTGTTCTTCTTATAAGTTTTTTTAATTTATCCATTGTTGATTTTGGTTTAGATTTTGTTTTATGGTTTATACCTTTTTTTTCAATTATGCTAATATCTTCTTTAGTAATCCACTATAAGTAGTAAAAGGATGTATTTTCAGTTAAATAGAAAATTTTTAGTATATATATTTAATATTGTTTTGAAGACAAATTTTTAACGTTAAATGGAATCCTGGTCAATAACGCGCGGATCACTTAACTTGGTAGGATTTTCTGACTGAACTGACTGACTTGTCAGTCAAGAAAATAAACAATTTATCATCCAATAATGATAATGGATCGGGTCACAAAATGTTTGGCTAAAATTATCATACGTCCGATAAATATTTGATCTAAGTAAAATTTCATCAATATTTTTCGTTTATAATTGAAAATCAAATACATAAATGAATATAGCTATGCATTTCCTGAATTTAATAACGAATTAGAAATTTGGCAACACAATTTTTATTTTTTTTTTGATGTTTATTTGTAACATAAAATTCGAAATACTTTTTTTTGATATTAAAAAGTTATATTAGTTATTCTAATTATATAGTTTTTTTTAGATATCAATAAAAAAATATTCTAAATTTGAAGTACAAATAAAGAAATATCCATAAATCTAACATACGTGTAACTTGATAAAAAATTTTAAAGTTATCCTTATAACTAAATCAAGAAAATTTTATTTATATATACAGCATATATATTTATATTCGGAACTATTTAAAAAAATATTGTAATACGTAATAAATTTGATTTTTTTTTATACTTTCAATTTTCTTTTTTTGGTAATACAACTTAAAGTTTTTAAAAAAAAAAACCTCTTAAAATTTGTGATTAATTGTCCGGAGTGAAACTTTATTGCCCGAAAGTGAGATAAAGTCCAAACCTGTCAGTATTATCGGTTATTGTCAAAATCAGTGTGAAATATTTATGGTCAAAACATTATGTACCCCTGACAAATATCCTGAAAAATAGTAACGGGCAGCATAGGAAAAGTATTTATTATCATTACTATAACGATAATGAAAGTTACGAAAATCACGAATTTGGGTCTATTTGTATCAAGAATACAAACACGTGTAATAGACTTTGATTAAATATATAAAATGCTACTATCGCTATGTATTACAAATATATACTATTAAATACCTCCAAAAATACAAAAGGTTAGAGTGGCTAGATTTACAGTAAATAAGTATAAGTGGGTTAAGGTTAAATAGAAACCACGAATTTCTTTTTAATCTGACTTTATTATTATTAATTAATAAATTATTAAGGTTCCTAGTTAGTTAAGATTGCCAAAATCACAAATTTTTATTAACGTTAATCCTTAAGTACGTACGTAAATATCATTATACCAGTTTAAAAAAAATTTTGCCTACAGATTCTTCTTTCCTGTAAATCTCACATGAATCATAAGGACATATAGCATTATAAGTAAACCAAATAGTTTACTCAAGAGCTTTCTGCTCTACTAATATATTGCTCTTGGCAGCGTATAATCTCTCTTAAATCTTTACTTTTCTAAAAGTCATTCAGAATTCATATAAAAATCATGATCTGGGCAAGGTTTATTACACATAGCTTAAAAGTCGATGGTCATTGAAAATCAAAAAATTATAATTCATAAATACTGTACGTATGACTTTTGTGTTAGATAGTCCCAAAAAAACATTGAAGATCTTACAAAATCATATGTTGAAAGCAAAAGCCTTACCTTTATTTTTTTTTTGACGTGACCTCGATCACATAATCATATGACTAATCTTTATTTAAGGTGTCATAAAGTCATATTAGCCTTCGTTATGATCAAATGGTCTATGACAGATCATATCATAAAGTTCATCGGCCAACACCGAAAAAATATTGAAGTCACAAAAATGGAAATTTCATACAAAGTCAAAAAAGTCAAAGATTTATTGTCCGGAGGATAAGCGAATGAAAAAAATGTCTTGGATTCCGCTCACATAATCATCAACAAATAAGCATTTAAAGATTGTTACACGCAATATTTAAATTTTATATTAAGCCACACACAAAGTTGATTTTTCGAAATTTCGTCCTGAAAAGGTATTTTATTTGTTCAGGTGCTACGTATAGTCATTAACTTTCGAATTAGTTAAGTCATAAGGTAATTATAAAATTATGTTTTAGTTTAAACCTATCGGTAACTTACCATGATTTCAATGATTCTGTTCTTAAACGAATGCTACAAACTGTTGGATTTGTTTAAAATGGATCAGCCGTTCTCGAAATATAGCTGTTGTTAAATGGAAACAAAGTTTAAGTGGATTCAATATATAAAAACCAGTATTTTAGGGTTGAATTTATATTATCCGATATGTAAATCCATAACCTAACCTAATTTAACTAGGAAATTCCGTATTTGCTTAAACTTACGACATAGCCATTAAACGATGCCAAACATTAAAAATTAGTCATCCATTTCCGATGACTTTTGTTTGAATATGTTCATTTAAGGGTAAGGTGAACGTAGATCATTTGGTTTCGGTTCATTTCACTTAAAATCACTTCGCCGACGGTACAATTCACCGACAAGTTTGTTTCGCCGACGGTACAATTCACCGACAAGTTTATTTCGCCGACAGTACGTTTCACAGACAGTATGTTTCACCGACAAGTTATAGATACTTATTTTCACTAACAAGTTCATTTCACCGACAGTACGATTCGCCGACAAGCTCATTTCACCGACAGTACTATTCGCCGACAAGCTCATTTCACCGACAGTACAATTCGCCGACAAGTTACAGACACTTATTTCACCGATATTTTATTAAAAGTCAGTAAAAAATGAAATTATTTGAAAAAAAAAGAGAGAAAAATAAAGTAACGTGAAACTAACCTAAACAGAACAAAACGCGCCTGCTTAATTATATTTTTAAAAATAAATAATTTGCAAGAATTAGAATGGATTAATTGGTTAGAAGAATGGATCTATTTAAAAAAAAAGGTAATGGAAGACCTGGCTAAAGATTGGTGCCGAAACTATTATGTCATGTAAAAACTACATTTCAATGAGTTATTACATATTTTTATTAATAGTTTTACTATGTTATTACATATTATGACAATTTCAATATAACATAACTAGTTTTATCATCAATCTTTAGACCTGGCCTGAACAGAATGATGAGGCTAGCAAAGAACTGACCCAGATCACATATTATAAAAAAAAAAATAAGCTATAACCAGTAAAGAAAAATGAAGTTATTTAAATTAAAATGTCATGAAACCTAACTTGAACAGAATAAAGAGCATTAGCAAAGTCCTAAACTGGCTTATATATTAAAAAAAAAAAAAAATAGTTAATTTTAGTAAAGAAAAATGAATCTATTTAAAAAAAAAAAAATAATGAGAAACCTGATCTGAACAAAATAAAGAGCATTATAAAGACCTGACCCAGATTATATATTTAAAAAAAAAATGAATTAAAGCTAATAAAAAAAAATGAAACTATTTAAAAAAAAAAAAAAAAATAATGAAAACTTAATCTAAACAGAATGAAGAGCATTAATGAAGAGCTGACCCAGATTATATATATTAAAAAAATTAGTTAGAGTCAGTAAATAAATGTATATCTATTTAAAAATAAAATAAATAAAACAATATGAAACCTAATTTAGAAAAAATAAAGAACATTAATAAAGACCTAACCTAGTTTATGTATTAAAAAATTAATGCACAAAAGAAAAATGAAACTATTAAAAAAAAAGTAATGCAAATCCTAACCAAACAAAATAAAGTGCATTATATTTAAAAAAAAAATTAATTAAAACCAGTGAAAAAGAATGAAACTATTTAAAAAAAAAAATAATGAAAACTCAAGTTGAATGGAAAAAAGAGTGCTAGTAAAGAACTGACTCTGATTATATATTAAAACAACTTTAAAACAAAAATAATGTAAAACCTGACTTAAACAGAATGAAGAGCATTATGAAGATCTGATCAGTTATATATTTAAAAAAAAATATTTAGTTAGAGTCAGTAAAGAAAAGTGAATTAATTTAAAAAAAAAAAATCAAATAATGCAAAACCTGACTTTAACAAAATAAAGAGCATTAGTGAAAACCTAATCTGGTTTATATATTTAAAAAAAAGAGTCAGGAAAGAAAACTAGAAATATTTTTTTTATTAAAAAAAGGTGATGTAAAACCTGATTTGAAAAAAATAAAGAGCATTATAAAAACCTAATCAGGATTAAAGGTTAAAAAAAAATTTTGAATAAAGCTAGTAGAAAAAATGAAACTATTTATTTAATATAAATAGTAATAAAAGGCCTGATCTAAGTAGAATTAAGAATGCTAGTAAAAAACTGATCTGGATTGCATATTAAAAAAAAAAATTAGAGCCAGTAAAAAAAAAAGAACTATTTAAAAAAGGTAACTTGAATTCTGACCTAAACAGAATAAAGAACTTAACCTGAATTATATATTATAAAAAATAAAAATAGTTAGAATCAATAAAAACATTGATTAAACTATTTATTAAAAATAATAATAATAATAAAAAACCTGACCTGAACAGAATAAAAAGGCTAGCAAAGAACTGATCTAGATTATATAAAAAATTTGATAGAGCTAATAAAGAAAAATAAAACTATTCAAAAAAAAAGATAATATAAAATCTGATCTGAACAGAATAAAGAGCATCACAAATACCTAACTCAGATTATATACAAGTAACTCTCAATATAAGAAACCTTGATATAAGATTCTATAAGTTCTAATTAAAAGCTTTATAATTAAAAACTTTTGATATAAGAAAATCTCAATATAAGAAAGATTTTGACTGGGCCTAAAGATTTTCTTATATTAAGAGTTACTTGAAATAAAAAAAATTAGAGCAAGTAAAGAAGGAATAGAACTACTTATTTAAAATAAGGTATCATAAAACCTGATCTAAACCAAAATCATTAGTGAAGACCTGACCTGGGTTATATCAAAAAAAA